TTGGATTTTGAACATTTTGGCTTGTTCTGGAAACAAGGATTGGTGAGAAAGCTTCAGTAGAGACGCCTTGGAGGTAGATTTCTCTCACTTCCTGTTGTCTCACTTCCATCCTTAACTAGGAGTTGTTTGTAAGTCGGATGTTTATCATAATGTACTGCAATATAATGATAATAATATGATATTATAATTATATATTTACATTACTTGTAATATTACTAATAATATTACGATTTTTTTTTTGGTCGTGTCAGGAGCAACTTGAGAAACTGCAAATCGCTTCTGGTGTGAGAGAATTGGCCGTCTGCAAGGACGTTGCCCAGGGGACGCCTGGATGATTTGATGTTTTTATCATCCTTGTGGGAGGCTTCTCTCATGTCCCCGCATGAAGAGCTGGAGCTGATAGAGGGATATACGATATATAGTGGTATGGTGCAATATAGCAATGTTTAATGCTGATATTGTACTATGCTAATAATATAATATATTGTATGTAATATATACCTTGTAAGCCGCTCTGAGTCCCCTTCAGGGTGAGAAGGGTGGCATATAAATGTCGCAAATAAATAAATAAATAAAATAACTCAAGGATTGCCTGTAAAATGGTGTTCCTTATACAAAACATAAAAACCAAGATTTTAAAAAAATATTTTGATTCTCTTGATGGCTGGATTTATGGATGCAGAATCCACAAGGAGAGCCAACAGTACCCCAAATTGGTGGGGAGGTTTAGACAAGGCCTAGCGGTGCCAGGAAATAAACCAATAATCTTCTGTCTTTTCAGCATGTGGCCATGCTTACCTGCTCGCTTCTGCTGTTTTTTGCGTCTCTTGCTTGCTGCCCGCAGGCCCTGGCCCTGGTGCAGGGGATCCAAGGCAGAGATCTCTCTCAGGTCCGGAGCCTTAGGAACAGCCTTCTCGGCTTCCACAAGGGCCTTGCTCTTGGCTTTCAGTTCTATCGTCATAGGGCCAAACTAGGGAGAACAAGCAAAACAGGTCATGTTGCTTTTTAAAAAGCAATTAGAAAAATCAAGACAGAGTGGAGGGCACCACCTCCATTTCCTAGAACTGTGTGCCAAGTTTGGTTCAATTCCATCATTGGTGGGGTTCAGAATGCTCTTTGATTGTAGGTGAACTATAAATCCCAGCAACTACAACTCCCAAATGACAAAATCAATTTTTTAGTGAAGGACGTACATTGGGTTGTTAGGTGTCTTGTGTCCAAATTTGGTGTCAATTCGTCCAGTGGTTTTTGAGTTTTGTTAATCCCACAAACAAAAAATACATTTTATTTATATAGATTAGCTGTCTCTGCCACACGTTGCTGTGGCCGTCTGTGTATGTGTGTATATATGTAGTTTTGCATATGTGTTGTAATTTATTTTTATTTTTTGGCTTTTTAAGTCTCTTCCGTTGTGTTTTTCAGTGTTTTTATGAGTGACTAGCTGTCCCTGCCACTCGTTGCAGTGGCCTAGTCTGTGTATGTGTATGTGTTTTGTGTACATATATCTGTGTGTATATATTTATGTATATGTGTATTTATGTGGTTTTGTGCATGCGTTGTAATGTATTTTTATTTTATTTTTGCTTTTTAAGTCTCTTCTGCTGTGTTTTTCAGTATTTTTATGAATGATGGTCACTTATTGGCACGATAGTTGTTTTGTGTCCATTCGCCCAATGGTTTTAGAGTAATGTTAATCCCACAAACGAACATTACATTTTTATTTATATAGATCAGGGGTCCTCAAACTTTTTAAACAGAGGGCCAGGTCACAGAGAAGGATTTCCCCCTCTTATAGCTAGCTCAAGCCTCTCAACTGCCCAGGGCTTTGAGGTTGTTTAATTTGAAATCTGGAAATCTCAAATATATGGCTCATGCAATGATTGTATACAAGGCTTCAGACTGTGCAAGGCAGGGATGGAGAATGAATGAATGAATGAATGAATGAATCTATATATATATAAATGCTCTGTGCATAATGAGTACCTTAAAAACAAAAGAACCAATGAATGAAATCACACCAAATTTGGCAACAAAACATCTCACAACACAAAAAGTGACCATCACTCAAAAAATTATGATTTTGTCATTTGGGAGTTGTAGTTACTGGGATTTATATTTCACCTACAATCAAAGAGCATTCTGAACTCCAACAACGATGAAATTGAACCAAACTTGGCACACAGAACTCCCATGACCAATAGAAAATACTGGAAGGGTTTGGTAGGCATTGACCTTGAGTTTGGGAGTTGTAGTTCACCTACATCCAGAGAACACTGTGGACTCAAACAAAGATGGATCTGGACCAAACTTAGCACAAATATTCCATATGCCCAAATATGAACACAGATGGAGTTTGGGAGAAAATAGACTTGACATTTGGGAGTTGTAGTTACTGGGATTTATAGTTCACCTACAATCAAAGAGCATTCTGAACCCCACCAATGACAGAATTGGGGCAAACTTCCCACACAGAACCCCCATGACCAACAGAAAATACTTAAGGCCATCCAGTCCAACTCCATTCACCAGGGCAAGAAAACATAATCAAAGCCCTCCTGACAAAGAGCCATCCAGCCATAGATATAGATAGATATGATTCACACACACACAGATATAGTATCATAGATTTGAAAGGGACCCCTAAAGATGGACAATGATATCTTGCATGTTCCAGTGTGGGCAAACCAGACACTCTCCACATCAACACTGACAAAGAAACAGCAAGAAATACTGTTTACCCACAAGCAGAAAGAAATTGCATATATTAGAAACCAATACTTTCTCATTACTTTATTTCCCAGATCACCAGACTGTGCCACAGCAACATGTGGCAGGGGACTGCTAGTGAGTGTCTCTCTCTGTGTGTGTATCTATATATATCTATATCTATATATATGCTCTGTGCATTATAAGTACCTTAAAAACAAAAGAACCAATGAACAAAATCACACCAAATTTGGCACCAAAACATCTCACTACACAAGGAGTGACCATCACTCAAAAATTATGATTTTGTCATTTGGGAGTTGTAGTTGTTTTGATTTATAGTTCACCTATAATCAAAGAGCATTCTGAACTCTACCAACAATGGAATTGAACCAATCTTGGCAGATAGGACTCCCATGACCAACAGAAAACACTAGAAGGGGTTGGTGGTCATTGACCTTGAATTTTGGAATTGTAGTTCACCTGCATCCCGAGAACACTGTGGACTCAAACAATGATGGATATGGACCAAACTTGACAGGAATACTCAATATGCCCAAATATGAACACAGATGGAGTTTGGGGAAAATAGACCTTGACATTTGGGAGTTGTAGTTACTAGGATGTATAGTTCACCTATAATCAAAGATCATTCTGAACCCCACCAACGATGGAATTGGGCCAAACATCCCACACAGAACCCCCATGACCAACAGAAAATTCTGTGTTTTCTGATGGTCTTTGGTGACCCTTCTGACACTCCCCTGGTGACCCCCCCCCCCCGGGTCTTGACTTCCCAGGTTGAGAAATGCTGCCTTAAGGCCATCCAGTCCAACTCCCTTCACCAGGGCAAGAAAACATTATCAAAGCCCTCCTGACAAAGGGCCATCCAACCATTCACACACACATATATGTATATGACACATGCAGTATCAAAGATTTGAAAGGGACCCCTAAAGAAGGACAATTTGCATGTTGCATGTTCCAGAGTAGGCAAACCAGACAATCTCCACATCAACACTGGCAAAGAAACAGTAAGAAATCCTGTTTACCCACAAGCATAAAGGAATTACATATATTAGAAACCAACACTTTCACATTCCTTTATTTTCCAGATCACCAGACTGGGCCACAGCAACGCGTGGCAGGGGACCGCCAGCCACATCTCCACCACAATTGGACACAAAGAGTGTTTGTTCTCAGAAAGGAAGTTGAAAAGACTTCATTCTAACCATGACTATCCACCAAGTTTCACACTAGAACTCATATTTTCCTACTCTTAACTTTTACCAACTAGTTCACACCATGACTAGATAAGGGCTGTTCCATCTGCTGCTGCTGTGGTGCAGCTGTCTATCTCTTTACTTGAAAATATTAAGCGATATGGTAGTCCCTCCACACTTGTGATTTGGGACTTTTGCAGAGGTGATTATTCAGAGACTTGATTAATATTATCCCTTTAGCATTCTTAGGTCCTTCAGTGCATCCTGGGGCTGAACACAGAGATCCTTAGAGAAGTGTTCTCTAGTACAAAAAAGTGTAGTTTAATTGTTTTTTCCCCATTTTCATGTGACTCCTACACTCCTAACCCCAGTGAACATGGTGGGCTAGTGTTCATATCAACTCTATCATTGAGTCTAAATTTGTTTAGAGCAGGGGTCCCCAAACTTTTAAAACAGAGGGCCAGGTCACAGTCCCTCAAACTATTGGAGGGCTGCATTATGTGAAAAAATGAATGTGTGCCGTCACACCCAAACGCCTTATGATGTGCTACTCTCTTTGCCTGGGCGGACCGCTGGGGTCTTTCTTTAGAGGCTCAAACCTTCTGAGTAACTGAGTCCACTTCAGGTTTAAAACAGCAAACAGGGTATTTATTAACAAAGTCCTTGTAGACTTGGCTCAGCTTATTAATGTTACCAACAGTCAATGAGTAAAGTATATACAGATATTAAGGCAGCTTTCCTCCAAAAGGTATAATGAATTGTGGAATTTTTCTACCCTAATCTTGAGCCCCTATGGTAAGAAAAAGCAGGTTTTTCTCCTATCTGTAACTCAAAAACAGCTTTGGAGGCAAATGCCCAATACTATCTATCTACTCAATAGCTCTTCTATTGATCTATCTATAATTTTTCTATAGCATAATAAACTCTTATCTGTATTCAATTGTTCCCTATAGCTCAATGAATCTATCTATCTATAACTATCTATCTATCTATCTAACGGTCTCAATTACTCAATATATTTGTTTTATTTTATTTTATTTTATTTTAGTACTTGCAATTTCTCAGAGCTTCCTGAACAGGCCTCTAACACATCCAATTGCTTCTTTTGAACTGAATGGGGCAGGGAAGGCTCCAAAATGGAAGTCTGACCTGGTAAAAGGGGTGGGCTCAAAAGTTACTCTCTGGGCCAATCATTGCAGAGAGCCTGCAAACCGGCCTTCCTGCCTCTGGCTGCTAACCTTTTAGGCCTTGCAAAGGCTGCAGCAGCCTGGGAGAAACACAAGGAGAGACTGTTTCCAGCAACTAAAAGGTAATGCAAAACCCATACTCCTGGGAGACGGAACAGAATGAATTCCTATGCACACTGAACATATCTTATTAATAGTGCAAAAAAAACCCACTTAAAACAATACAATAATTAAAATGAAAAACAATTTTAACAAATATAAACTTATTAGTATTTCAGTGGGAAGTGAGGGCCTGCTTTTGGTTGATGAGATATGTTGTTGTGTGCTTTCAAGTCATTTCAGACTTAGGTTGACCCCGAACGAGGGCCGGATAAATGTCCTTGGAGGGCCGTATCTGGCCCTCAAGCCTTAGTTTGAGGACCCCTGGTTTAGAGCTTTCTCGTTACCTTTTTCTAAAATTGCCCAAGCAATTGCCATGGTGGAGCAGGGATTCAAACACCGGTCTCCTAAAATCTTAGTTGAGCATTCAAAGTACTCTACCACACTGGTTTTTAGGCTAGATGGGAGAGATTAATAAAAGAGCCCTGACTTTTCAACAAGAGAAACGCCTCATCCTCTCCCAGATATTTGCTGCCAAAGCCTAATTTATATGAGGAAGATGTCTCTTATTTTCTCCGACTCCAAGCAGCTCAAGCTTCTAGTTTGGCCCTGTTGCTTGCCAAAATTAAACAGAGCTTGACTGTTTTGTACTCAATGACTTCTCATTGAGGAAAAAAATCATAGGCCTGTGGATTTGGCTATTCTACAATCACAATATGATTTGTAAAAACTAAGAGAGGGGAGAGAAAAGTACTGCAGGATAATAACTCCCATCAAGACTCTTCCTCCATTGCTAGAAATGTGGCTAGCCTTTAGATCAGTGTTTCTCAACCTTCCTAATGCCGTGACCCCTTAATGCAGTTCCTCATGTTGTGGTGACCCCCAACCATATCATTATTTGTGTTGCTACTTCATAACTGTAATTTTGCTACTGTTATGAATCGTCATGTAAATATCTGATATGCAAAATGTATTTTCATTCACTGGACCAAATTTGGCACAAATACCCAATACGCCCAAATTTGAATGGGGTTTGGGGGGGGGGGTTGATTTTATCATTTGGGAGTTGTAGTTGCTGGGATTTATAGTTCACCTACAATCAAAGCATTCTGAACTCCACCAATGATGGAATTGAACCAAATATGGCACATAGAACTCCCATGACCAACAAAAAATACTGGAAAGGTTTGGTGGGCATTGACCTTGAGTTTGGGAGTTGTAGTTCACCTACATCTAGAGAGCACTGTGGACTCAAAAAATGATGGGTCTGGACCAAACTTGGCACAGATATTCCATATGTCCATATCCTGAAACTATAGCCCATCTGCCTGGGTGCAGACCTCGGGGTCACCATCTTCTTCCATTTTGGTCTCTTCCGGATCCTGATGGTGGAGTTCTTCCTCGTCATCCATCTCAGCCTCTGCTCCACTGGTGAGGCCAAAGCCTTCCAAGCTGATGCCAACAGGACCAGAGGGCAAGCCTGTAAGAGATAGAAAAATCACCTAAACCTGAAACTTCCAAAGGGAGTAGAGCCCAAGGACTTTTGTCTCCTGAATTGGAAGAGGTTGAATTATTTATTTATTTATTTACAGTATTTATATTCTGCCCTTCTCACCCTGCAGGGGACTCAGGACGGATTACAATGTACACATATATGGCAAACATTCAATGCCAAAGACACACAACACATATAGACAGACAGTCAGAGGTTATTTAACTTTTCTGGCCACCAGGGGAGCTGTCACTTTCATCGTCTACTGGTCACTTTCAAAATAAACATACAATTACATTAATTGAGGCATCAGTAGATTAAATGTTTTTGAATATTTACATAGAATTGTAATATAAAATAAGACTGTCCAACTCAGCTTAAACCATTATTCTCACCTTCTTCAATGTAAATGTGCTTATGTATCCTTCCAATAATAGAGTAAAACGATAAATGTAATAATAACAACAATAAAGTAAAATAATAAATGTAATAACAACAATAAAGTAAAATAATAAATGTAATAATAATAATAATAATAAAGTAAAATGATAAATATAGTAATAATGAATAGAGTAAAATAATAAATATAATAATAAATATAATAATAACAGAATAATAACAATAACAACAACAATAATAACATAATAATAATAATAATAATAATAATAATAATAAACCTTTATTTATACCCCTCTACCATCTCCCGCAGGACTCGGTGCGGCTTACAAGAGGCCGAGCCCAAATACATCATAAAAACATAACAACAACAATACAACAATAAATAAATCATAACATAGCAAAAAAACCCAACAGTACAATAATGACACGACGCATTTAAAAACCTTTGGCAGGGCCAAGTGCAAAAGTTAAAATTAAAAATGCTGGGCATGTCCAAGGGAAATAGGATGGATATTTTAGGATAGGTGGGCGTGCAGACCATTCTAAGTCTCTCATAAAGTGCATTTGGGACATATTGCTTAGGATTCCTTATTCTGGGAAGGCACACTGGAACATCCACGTTTTCAAGCTCCTTCTAAAGACTGCCAATGTTGGGGCTTGCCTGATGTCCTTGGGGAGGGATTTCCAGAGTTGTGGGGCCACCACCGAAAAGGCCCTGTGCCTAGTCCCCACCAATCGCGCTTGCGATGCAGGTGGGATCGTGAGCAGGGCCTCTCCAGATGAACGAAGAGATTGTGTGGGTTCGTATACAGAGATGCGGTCACGCAGGTAGGCGGGTCCCAAACCGTTTAGGGCTTTGTAGGTAAGCACCTGCACCTTGAATTGGGACCGGAAAATGAACGGCAGCCAATGGAGCTCCTTAAACAGGAGGGTTGACCTCTCCCTGTAAGGAGCACCAGTTAACAACCTGGACCAATTGAAATAAAAAATAACCTTGACTCGAGTATAAGCCGAGGGGGATTTTTTTCAGCCTAAAAAAAGGGCTGAAAAACTAGGCTTATACTCGAATGTATACAGTATATGCATTTGCCTGTTTTCAAAATTATATTGTGTTGGGAAGTCTGACTTGGCCACGGTGGTCCACGCTTTGGTTACATCCCGTTTAGACTACTGCAACGCTCTCTACGTGGGGTTGCCTCTGAAGACTGCCCGGAAGCTGCAGCTAGTCCAACGCTCGGCAGCCAGACTACTAACAGGTGCTGGGTACAGGGAGCACACCACTCCGCTGTTACACCAGCTCCACTGGCTGCCAATTAGCTTCCGAGCACAATTCAAAGTGCTGGTGTTAACCTATAAAGCCCTAAACGACTCCGGCCCTGTTTACCTCTCCGAACGTATTCTCCCTTATGAACCATCAAGATTATTAAGATCGTCTGGAGAGGCCCTGCTCTCGGTCCCACCGGCCTCGCAAGCGCGTCTGGTGGGGACGAGGGACAGGGCCTTCTCGGTGGTGGCCCTCGACTCTGGAACTCTCTCCCACTGGAGATCAGAACCGCCCCTTCTATCCTGACATTTAGGAAACAGGTGAAGACTTGGTTATGGAGACAGGCATTCGACGAGTGAGCCAACACCCTGAGATATGGATGGAGGATGATGAGCAACGATTTTAGTATGACTGGCCATTATAGTTATTGATTGTAATTGCTGTTTTAATGTTTTACTGTAATATGTATTATGATGTTTTATTGATTGTATGTGATATTATGGTTGGAAGCCGGTCTGAGTCCCTCAAGAGAGGTGAGAAGGTCGGTATACAAAACTTTTAAATAAATAAATTAAAAATAAATAAATAAATTAGCTGATTTGAGTCTCTACGAGGAAAGAAGTGGAATTCAAAAAGTGAGTAAACAAACAAATAATAAACAAACATCTGGGATGTGATTGGCTGGCAAGTGGAGATTGGCCCCCAAGATCCTGCTCAAGAAATAGACTTGACTCACTTGCTAACAGCTGACAAACAGATCTTGCCCATGTCATTTAAGAAGCCTCTGCAAGCTGTGTTTGTGGGGTGCCTCATTGCTTTGCAGAGCTCCTATCCAAATACAGGGTTCTAACGCGGAAGGAAGACAAGTGTGAAGTTTTGCAAACCTGTCCAAAAGTTGCAAAAATGGGAAGCAATGGTGATAAAAAAGATGCTGGTAGCATCAGTGAGCCAGACTGGAGGCGCAGGAACTAGGAAAGAATTGAGACTGATTTGTCAGAAATGTTTACACCTCTAGAAAGCTACACTGGCAGGAAATATGCTCCCTGAGACACTCACCTCCAAAAAAAGGAAGGGAGATGTCAGATCCTGAAGGGATTACGAGCAAAGGCACTGAGTGAGAAAAAGGTAGCTGGCTTTAGCTTCAAAGAGGAAGATGCCCTCCTTGCAAAAACCAAAAATATATAACATTTTTGCAAGGAGAAGCAGTTCCATGCACTGAAGATTTCTACAACCACATTTCTACCACACCACTAAATGGTAAGGGATGGGAATGGGTGGTAAACTATAGAAAGTGAAGCTTTCTATAGTGACTTTTAAAAAGCTGTTTGTTATACAACTCACTGTAAAGCGCCTCCTTTTTAGTAATTTCTTGTAATTGCTTGATGTGTTGGACAAGTCAGGATTTATAATGGAATCACATAAAACTTTAAAAATCTGCTCAAAATACCTCTAAAACCCCAAAGGTGTTTTTTTTTCAAAGTAAACTTGCTCTCAGAGCCTTGGTCGTTGATCATGTCCACTAACTATTCCCTTTTTCCACCATGATCATTCCACAGATATATAAACCCAATTTTCCTAGTTCCAACAGACCTCATTACCTCTGAGGATGCTTGCCATAGATGCAGGCGAAACATCAGGAGAGAATGCCTCTAGAACAGGGGTCCTTAAACTAAGGCCCGGGGGCCAGATATGGCCCTCCAAGGTCATTTACCCGGCCCTCGCTCAGGGTCAACCTAAGACTGAAACTACTTGAAAGCACACAACAACAACAACAACAACAAGCCTGTTGCATCAGCCAAAAACAGGCCCACACTTCCCATTGAAATACTAATAAGTTTATATTTGTTAAAATTGTTCTTCATTTTAATTATTGTATTGTTTTTAAGTGTTTTTACACTACAGATAAGATATCTGCAGTGAGCATAGGAATTCTTTCATGTTTTTTTCAAATTATAATCCAGCCCTCCAACAGTTTGAGGGACTGTCACCTGGCCCTCTGTTCAAAAAGTTTGAGGACCCTTGCTCTAGAACATGGCCATATAGCCTGAAAAAACCTACAACAAACCAGTACTTCCTTTTTAATTTAATTCTATCCCATAGTTGTTACAAAAAGAGAAAGTAAATTATTGCAGATAATTTGGACTACTGTAATGCAGTCTACGTGGGGCTACCCTTGAAAACAGCCCGGAAATTTCAATTGGTACAAAAGGCAGGCGGCAGCCTTTTACTAACTGGTGCAACTTACAGGGAGCGGTCAACCCCCGTTTAAGGAGCTCCATTGGCTGCCGTTCATTTTCCGGTCCCAATTCAAGGTGCAGGTTCTTACCTACAAAGCCCTGAACAGTTTGGGACCCGCCTACCTGCGTGACCGCATTTCTGTGTACAAATCCACACAATCTCTTTGATCACCTGGAGAGGCCCTGCTCGCCTCCTTCGCAGGCGCAATTGGTGGGGATGAGGGGGAGGGCCTTTTCGGTGGTGGGCCCCCAACTCTGGAACGCACTTCCCAAGGACATCAGGCATGCCCCAACTCTGGCAGTCTTTAGGAGGAGCCTGAAAATGTGTCTGTTCCAGTGTGCCTTCCCAGAATAAGGAAAATTCCCAGCAATATGTCCTCAGAATGCACTTTACTACTGGTTTAGGATTGACTGTGCTCCCTCATCTCTTTTGAAACCCTATACCAGATATTTCCTCCCTGTTCATGCCCAGCATTTATTTTTTAATTTTTAACTATTACATTTGGCC